AATGCGCATAGTTGTTACAACTGGGATAAGGTACAGAGTGGGGCCCTCTGGGCTTTGAATAACAGTCTGTAAACAGTTTTAAGGGATTTTAGGCTATTTCTTGTGGGGATATTGTCTGCGTTAACATCCATAAGCCAGCTAAAGTAGACGTTACATGTACTGTATACACTCTTTAGTTAAGCCAGCACAAAGTAGCTGGACGTGTGTGTATGATACAAGCAGCAAAAACTTGGACGAGTTGGTTGGGTTTCTATTTGCCTTGGCATTGTTTAACAGTTTTGATGAAGTTCCCTAACAAATCTGTAACTTTTGGGGATGTGCCAAAGGACTAAGGAAACAGCTTTACTTACATTAGGATTTAAAAATGCTGCATGGGATGACCCTTTTAACTTTAGGTCTAACTTTCATCCCGTGCAAAATGAAAGGATAACTGAAGATAAGCTTGAGTGTCTGAAATCTCATCTTTTTACCCCAACTGTGAGTTGGTCTAATAAAATATACTATCACTGCCTACAGACCAAACCTATCATAATTCATGCCATTCAGCATAGCTTTTGGGAGCTTGGGTCGTAGTCAACAAATGTAATACTGTGCTTTGATGAAATGAAATGCATTTGATAAAAGAACTAAGGCAGATGTACTGTTTTGTTTTGTTTTATAAAGTATACCTCTGTACAGGTTTTTGACACCTAACATCGTCACTTTGGTATAGTGCCGATCTGTAGTGCAGCATTTCTCCATTGATTAGAGAAAAATGTAATAGAAGAACTGAAAAACAATGGAGATTTGAGACTGGTGTAGTGTGGAAGTCCTAAGGAAAAACTTATCTTCATTAATGGTGGGCTTGCATAATGAGACATAGACTAATTTCTTCTTTCTCTCTTGAAGTATTTAACGAAAACTTAAACCCCAAGAAATTTGGGAGTTAGCTATTTAGCAGCAGTACTGCATCATGAAGATCAAGACAGGTGGAGTTTGGTCCTTGGTAAAGCCACAACCCTAATTCTTAATTGCATTGGTATATCTAATGGGAAAAGAAAAATGAGAAAGCCTCTAATTCTCAAACAACAAAAAAAAGAACGTAAAGAAATAGATCATTTTAAGCTAGCATCTCTTTACAGTAACACAGTGCCATAACTGATACTACTATATCATTGCTTTATCAGAAAAGACTAAAATATATTCAAAGTTTCCAGAAAACATGTTGTCAGACTTCATTAGATTTACTTTTTTTTTTCCAATTTCTTCCCAAATGTACAAAATAAGTTCAGTTCCAGTTGTATTAATGTGTTCCACTACTCACTCATCTGCAAAAACTGTGTGATTTTGATGTGATAAGGTAAAAGAGTGGAAGTTAAGTATAGTCTTTATTCTTAACATGTTAAAATAGTTTTGAAATCTAAAGTAGTCTGTAATTTAAAGTAGTCTCTTTGGTCTTGGAGACAGGAAAGAATTATTAGAGAGTCTTGTGCAAGCAGTGAAATATATTTTAGTGGCCTCCAACACGGTAATGAAAAACCTGAGGTCATCTTTTTTGGAGTGGGCTTTATGTAGCATCTGCTTCGTGGCTGGGTTCCACTGATCAGCAGTGCAACAGCAACCAAAGGAAGGGGGTTTTAGCTGTATAATTTTTTCTGTGGAACTGACAGGCTGCTGTAGGCATATGGGTGCTAAAAAAGGATGTGTGAGTTTCATGTAGCATGTAGATTTGTTATTACTACAAAAAAACAGTGTGACTGTATCTTTTCCCTTTCCTTATAATTACATCTGTAGATACGAAGCTAAGAAGTAGGAGTCGTACATAGAAGAAATTATTCTTCCACCCATTTTATCTGAATGTAATTTACAGACCTTTAGAGTCATGATTCTGAATTCAGCAAGTTGGGTATGACTAGGTAACAGCATGCTTCGTCATGTGTTAAATAATTGCTACCTGGATAGCTATTAAAAGTCAATAACATGAAGAATATAAAAGCATGATTATTTCAGGTTTGTCCTTGAAATGTGGATCAAAGTTTATGTTCATTGTACAAATGAGTCATTGCAAGCATGAAGAGAGCAGTAAAGGGTATCTCTATTTTATGTTAAGTGATTGTGAGGTTAAGTAAAATTGTTACATAAAGATTTTCTGAATGGAAAATTGGTTTTGCCATCCAGGGAGAAGGAAATAAAAATAAACAGTAGGTAAATAAGTCCTTTTAGTGTTTCAGTTAGTAAAGAAGAGATGGAAAGAAAGACCCTCCCCAGAGTTTCCATCATAGCACTAATGGCCAAAATTTCTTTGTGTCTTGGACGGTTTTTGATAGCTTTACCTTTGAAATACCTTTATTTAAATCAACACAGTCCCTTCTTGTAAGTATTGATTTTTTTAAAGTAGGAGGGAAAAGTTCTTTTGTGGGTCCAGCAGGTGCTTCCTGAGTGCAATTCGTTTTGTTTAACCTATGAACTCTGTCTCTTATCCATCAATAAATATATATAATTTCTATGAATGTTTATTTCTCTCCCTGCAATTTTGCATATCTCTGCATGAAGCAGGCAAGATTTGTTCGGGCATCTTATTTTCGGTACTGATACACATAAAGTTTTATTGTGGTGTTTTGTTTAAAGAAACATTTGTAGAACAAAATTTGTTGTGGTATTGGCTTCTTTCAGCTGTGTTTCAAAGATATGAAATAGTAAAAACCTCAGTTCCTCAAATATGAAGGCTTCTTAGATAGAATTCTTGGCTTCTTTATCTTTTTCCTTCATATTAAAAGAAAATCTGAAAGGAGATTGTACCTGAACAAATTTAACACCATCTCCATGACAACCAGCTAATTAATCGCTATCGGTCTGGCTTTGGTCCTCTTCAGTGAACTGATACTCCTCAGCTTTATTTCACAGATCTTCTGGGTTTTCTGTGAAGGTTGTTTATGTAGTGATGGTATTTCTTTGGGAAAAGCAGTCTTTTAATACAAGCAACAACTTTCTGTAAAAACAGCTCAATCTTACCTGTGGTTTCCTCTGAGTTTTGCTTCCTGCACAGTAGTAGGGAGTTTTTCAGGTTGGTTTTGTTTTTTTTTTTCCTTCTTGCTTTTCCTGATATTTCCATTTTTTCTTTGGGGCATAAGCGTTCATTGTGCATATTATGACTGTGACCACATGGCAGTACAGGTATTCCCAAACTAAGTTTGGCTCTAAGTAGTGTAGTAAGTAGGAGAAATCAATCCCCGGCAGATGTTTAGAGTGTGCTGAGAGCTCGGGTGGCTACTTTGCTTCTTGGGAGAGATTTTGCAGGTCTGAGCCTCTGTTGCTGCATTGCTGTAAGTGTACAGGTTTGCTCGGGTAAAGTCATTGCTACCCTATCCTGAAGTCAAAGTTTCTGCAATGTTAGAGGTACTTCGAATCAGTCAAGATACTTGCCACAGTTACTGCATCATTTTTGACATATATAAATATGTTTAGGAGGCCTGGTAATTGCATTACGGTTGCAAATAATAGCAAGCTTTCTGTTATGTTGGCATTCTCCAGCCTGTGAACTGCAAGAACATAACGTGTGTAGATGATCAGACCAATTGCCCATGTAGCTCAATATCCTGTTTTTCCTACTGACCTCTCATAGCAGATACCTGTGATGGACTGATGAACTGTAAGAACATAACGTGTGTAGATGGTCAAACCAATTGCCCATATAGCTCAATATCCTGTTTTTCCTACTGGCCTCTCATAGCAGATACCTGTGATGGACTGTAGGGACAGGGAAAGAACGAGATGGTGCAGGATGTTTTCCCCAGAACATTTTCCCAATCTTCAGCTGTCTGTGGCTAAAGGAGGTCAAGGTTTGCGGTAAAAAGAAGACTGAAAACTGAGGCTAGGAAAGAACAGTCATTCCCTATCTTGAACATTTCTTGTATTTTTAAGTTCTCATTTTCTTTCTGGATGACTGTTCACTGCGGTCATTCCCTATCTTGAACATATCTTGTATTTTTAAGTTTTCATTTTCTTTCTGGATGACTGTTCACTGCCTTTTACAAATTAAATATGTTTATACATATAAATTTATACATGTTATGTGCTTACTATGGGAGGAGAGTGAAAACAATTGAGTGTATCCCTCACTCCCGCAGTCTTCTTTTCATGGGCGCATATTTAGTTCCAATCTTTGTGTTTTGCTGTCGTGTCTCATGGATGTATTAGTTGTTGGAAGTTATTCCATATATTTACTCTTTGGGTGCCATACTTTTTTGCAGACAGTTTGTGGGACACCTTGATTATCTCATGTAATTTAGCAGTACTTATGAGAGATGGATATTGATGTTCAGGTGTAGGTATGAGCTTTACTGAAGATTAAAAGGATTGCCAAGAAATTTGTGTAGAAAAACAATAGAAAAATTTGTATTGTGACTGAATGTTTTATATGTTGTTGGAAGTGCAGAGATACATAGAACATGCTGTTATGCTGGTTTTAAGGTGTGCATGAAACAATGAAGAAATCAAAAATGTTGTGGCAACTCCCTTGTGGCAAGCCAACAAAACAGATTCAGAAGGGCAAGATGCACAGGGAGAGACTGGAAATAATTTTAGGTAGTTTCCTTCATAAGCTGATTTTTAAATTTTATTTTTTTACCTAATAACTTCATGGGCCTGCTGGAAGAAGTTTTGACTGAAGATAATAGATATGGGTATTTTACATAATAAATTACTGGAGAAATGGATCTAAGCAGATGTTTAGTACTTGGGATTTGCATGAAGTGAAGTGGCGAAAGGAAAATTGCATCAAAACCAGTGCTGAATTGGAGATGAGTTAGGCTGCAAAAGCGCCCTCGAAGATGGGAAGCACGTTCTTTGTGGTGTTAGACTGTGTCTATTCTGAGTCTTTGTCTTTCAGCTACTTGTTTGACATTGTGATATATCTGGATTTAGAGTAATGTATTAATGATTTCTTTTTTCTTTCCTTTGTTGTTGGTTTGTTTGTTCTGTTTGTTCATACATGACATGCTACTGAACGGGTACGTATGAAGATTGCTGTGTTCACTGTATCCTGGCTTGCTTGTTCTGTGAATTTCTCACCCTCTGTAACATTGTTCTGGGACAAGCATCCTGCGGCATCTGCACATCGGAGGCCTGCTGCTGTTGCTGCGGGGACGAGATGGGAGATGGCTGTAACTGCCCGTGTGATATGGACTGTGGCATAATGGACGCATGTTGTGAATCTTCAGATTGCTTGGAGATCTGCATGGAATGCTGTGGGATCTGCTTCCCATCATGAAATATTTATCCCTTTTTATTTTATTCTCTATAAAACTGGAGAGCTTCTCTTTAAATACATTTGAAGAAAGACAAGGTAAGATTTTCACACAACCAACTGGTATTGCACTGTTAATTCTCTCTATATAAATATTTTTTTTAAAGTAATCCTCAAATCTGTATTCTAACACAAATTGTATAGTTTTGTATGTGAAACTCAAGCTACATTCCAGCTTCCTTTTGGCTTTGCAAATGGAAGACTTTATTGAATCCGAATTATAGGCCTGATACCACAGGCTGTGTGAGGGTAAATTGCCATTTGAACTGAGTGACAGGTTTTGGTCAGAGAAGAAACTACAGGGCAAAGCCTTAAGTATTTGCCTTTACCTACTTTAGTGTTTAAACACTCAAATGCCTCCATGCATAACATGCCTTTACTGGCATTCTGGAAAGCAAATGTCTTCATTTCAGTCTCTTTGGGTTGAAAGCAATTTTGGTCTATTATTTTAAACTTAATTCAGAAGTCAGCATCGGGAATCTACTGTTGGTTTTGCTACAGTGGTCACATTGGCAAGATTTCTTTTGTTCTGAGTATCTCATTGGTTTGAGAGAGATTCCTGGTATTTTCCATTGTCAGTATTGACCATATGCGAAGATTTGGCAAACTAAAGTCAATGTAAGTTTTGCCATGGACTAGAGTACCAAGATTTCATTGTTATCAATCAAGACAGAATAGAGAACTTACATTTTACTTCAGCACTAATATTACTTGAAATGCTTCTTTTTAGAAAGAGACTTTGGAAATCTGTGTAGACATGAAATATATCCTTAGACTAACAGACCAACTAATACACTAACAAATCTTCAAAAGTTGACTATAAAAAAGAAATTATCAGAAGTTAACTCAAGAATCTAAGCCTGTGCATTAAGTGGCCCTGTCAGTGTTTGTGGCTTTAGAGCGAGTGTCACATAACTTAGTATTTATTTCTTCACTGAGTGAGAAAGATCCACAGAGGATGGCCGAATTAAAACAGGATGTAAAGACCAAATGAAAACTAACTTGATCGAAGAATTCTGTCATTGAATGCAAAAAGCAAATGCAAAAATGTTTATTCTCAGATACTTTTTAAGTGTTATTTTTAAATAGCTGTATAAAAAAAAGGACATTTAAAAATGTATGATATCCTTTAAAAATAAAAATCTTGCAAAATGTTTGAAAAATACAGTTAGGATCCTGTGGGCACCTTTTTTCCTATTATACCATTAAAGTTTTCTGAGAAATACCTCCATTTGTCATTGTAATTGTGAAATGAATTTAGTCCAACACGTGAAGACATTTATGGCATTCCCAGATTTAGGGAATAATGGTACCCGTTTTCTTTACCGTCTGATAGCTTCTCCCCTCTGTGTCTGTAGCTAATTAACTTTTCTGTGTAAACCACCCACACATCCTGATCTCGCATACTTAAACTTTCCTATCTACACTCCAGATTTCCTATTTGTAGATTGTTGGATCTCGTAAATTTAGGCCTTGTTACAAGAGTCATCGATAGCCAATAGCATATTTCTGTTGAGTGAATTGACCATAAATGTCTCTTTCCGCTGTAGTGAATTCAGTTTATGCAAATGTGACAAGCTAAAGATCACAGGAGTGTGAAGCTAAGTCCACAAATGATCTGATATTAACCAAAGCTTCTCCGTATGAACACTGACTAGTAGTGCCTACTACTGCAAGTTATCATTGAAGGTAACATAGCTGAATCCTCAACTATACTAGAGAGCTGGGAGGTCTTACGTTTTGCCTTAACATCTGCAATACTGTAGTGTATTCTGTTGCAATGCCAATTTACTCAGAGGGTTTCTTATCTGTTTTTTGATAGTTTCTGTAAGAATTGGCTCTTATCATGTGTTTGTTTTTTTTTTTTCCCCATATGTTGGGCCAGATTCAGATCTGTGTTGCATAAACTAAGTGAATTTCCATTAATGTCAGAATTTTCCATTGGTTTAGCTCCAGCTAGAGAGCACAAAGATATTATGATAATAGGCAGGCTAATAAGGAATCATATAGTTAAATTGATAAATTCCCTCAGCTCAGAATCAGGCCCATGGGGCTCAATTATGACTCCTAAAAGTCTGAACCACATTGGGAAGGGGGAAGAGGTGCCTTGGTTGAGTGGCAGTGCCTGGAGGCATTTTGCCTTTGTAAGGCATAATGCCTCTGGGGAAATTGGGGGCATCACGGTGAGCACTGGGACTTGATGCACCTTGGAAAAAGTCTAGATAGTGCTTTGCCCATTGTAGGTCTCTGGTTGACACCGTGGTGGTGGGGATGTGCGCTCTGGGGCTAGGCAGCACCATGAACTGTCCTTCCTGGTGTCCTTCTGGGCACAAAGAGGTGAATTAGGACTGTTTCTGTCTGATTGTGCTTTTGGGGATGGGGAAGAGGACTTCCAGTCTCCTGTTCTGCCCCAATGTCCATGCCCTGCCAGAGCAGTTCCAGTTTTGTGCTTGGAAAACTGCACATTTGTATATCAAGCTTTTAGTGAATATCGGATGTTAGTAAAAATTACTTTTACCACAAGATGATATAGTTTTGAAAAAAAAGAAATTACCAATCTAGGGAGTCCTTTCTCTGTGTAAAAGTTTGTTCTGCACAAGCCCTTGTTTCTACTTTCAGGAACTCAGAGGTTTTTTTGATCTATTGAAATTATGAAAACCTGGGAGGTGTCTTTACTATTAAGGATTTACTTCCAGTACTGTTGAAATACAAATAATAGTTGCAAGAACTTTGTTCATGCATATACAGACTCTTTCTCAGACACATGCACAACACACACGCACACACATTTGTGGATATATTATTTCTTTTCCCACTTCATTTGTGAAATACTAGGAAGTGAAAATAGTGTTTATTAAACCTCATAATGATTAGAAGTATCAAAGTATTACAGACAATTGAAAAAAAATAAAAAATTGTATGATTTGTTTGACATTTAAATGTAATCTGCTACTGTTTGTCATAGAGATATTAGCACTTTTGTAAAATGTATCTTTGTAGCAGAGAATATTAGTATGTAGTTTAAGGAATTCCTTTCTGTATTTATATTCTTAAATTCTGTTTTATAATTTTCACTCTATAGGCAATCTTGTAAGCACCTTGTGTAGTTAAAGCAAGCAGAATGAGAAGGAATCAAATGTGAAAATATAGTTTAAATAAAATTAAAACATCAGAACGTAACTTGTCTATTTTATAATAGTTCTTTGGAACTTGTACAGTGTTTCAGTATATAGTTCTGCAAACCAGCCCATTTGAAAAAATGATAATTTGCTATTTGTATTTTATATATCAACTGGATGTGCTATTCTCAAACACTGTTTTGAAATAAAGAACTTTATTTTGAAACTTTGGGATATCTTCTTCTTCTAGTCTTGCCCTGTTAGTCCTCTGAATGATAACTTCTTGTTTTATTTGTGATTTTTTTCTGTGATAACACTTTTTGAACGCTTTGGCCTTTGGGTGATTTGCACAGAGGGTGAGCCAGTGTATATGAGTTGTCTTACAGGTGGAGCTAAACCAACTCAGGCGCTAGAAGCTGTGCTCGTATGAATGTCCAACAGTAAAAAAAGTTTGTCATTAAGAGGGCAAATGCATTCCTTAGTGAAATTGTGTTAATGAGGTGAAATTCCAGTAATCATCAGATTTGATCAAAGTGAAAGTTACTCCACTACATCTGTAGCAACAGTCTTCAGGTTACTAAAAGCAAGCTGAACAAGAATGTAGTTGGTTCATTGTATTGCAGTAGACATATTAAGGTCTGATGGCCTATGTGGCCTATGGAACAAAGACTTACACACACTTCCACTATTTTAGAGTAAGGTATGTTTTTAAAATCAGTTTGTTTAACACAGATGGAGTAGACTCTTTCAACTGTGATTTAAGCAAAGATTTTTTTTTTTTCATGTTGGCTTAAGCTGAGTGTGAAGATGCTTATGCTGCTTTAAAACTGCAGAAACTGCATGTCTACAGTCTTTTGGACTAATTTTTCTGTGTCTATTTTAAATTTATTGAATGTTCTACCATGTCTGTGTATATGTGGGCCCTTCTAAGGGCTAAAAAACATCTGCTATGTCTCCTCTGGGCGTTACAGAGTTAAGATGTTAAAACTGACATAAATTGTGCTTGAATGTGTACCATGAAGTCTTGCCATTGAGACCGTGTGCCAAAATAATTGTGTAAGAGAACTAATAAATGCATAGACAGCACCATTTGAGAAGACTTATAGGTGATCTAGCCAGTATCCATAACACATAATATTTCTAGAAAAAAATGGTTCCTATGAAGAAGGATCAGGAACATTTGGGAGCCTTTGGATTGAATAATGACTGTATTTCAGCCACAGTACTCCTGTTAAGAACTGTTTGTTGAGTTTGGTGAATCGTTGTTTTTATAATCTTCTAAATGTGAAGCTCTTCTGAGCTGTTCACATATTTTTTTAAAAAAATTGTCTTAATGATCGCAGTATTTGATGTATGTTCTTGGACAGCAATGTCAATGGTATTGATGAATTTCCACATTCAAGCTCTTTTTGTCAGCACTCTTGTAACTTTCTGAAAGGGAACAGATATATCATAGAATGAATCATATATCTGAAATCTTACTCTTGGCCCCAAAATTAAATTAAAGATTAGAGAAATATCTCCCTGGTATCTTCTCTCTGTCCCTCTCTCTATATGTGAGTGCTTAGACCATGTGTTTGAAGACCTCAGGTAGTGTTGATGGTGGCAGTAGTAGCTCTAGAATCCTACTGGCATTAATCTTACTTTTTTTGCTACCTTCTAACCTTCTGCCAGTTCTTATCACTTCCAAAGAGAGCAGGGAGATCTTAACTCAATATTAGCACCAGGACATTGAAAGAAGTCAATAAGAATAATACCCTGCACCCACTTCCATGGTGCACTTGTTCCCTGTGCTCAGTATACTCGAATGTGAACTTGATTGATTGTACAAAATTCAGCCTCCTCATAAGCACTTGCTTATGCTATTTACCAGTGATTCGGTGCTAGTGACATAAAAGATGGCCTTTCTCTTCTTTAGAAGTGTTTGATGTGGTGGGCTGTTTCTACGATAGTTGGAAAGAGAAATTTCTCTGAAATACCATTCTGCAAAACAGAATTTGTTTGAGTTTGATTAGGTGATCTTAATC